AGCTGTTCATGGGCCATACACAACGATATGGTAGAAGAAAGTCGGAAGTTTGCTGAGCGAAATGGCATTCACGAAGCTCGCGACTCCAAAAAGGTGATATTTACTCTGCAATAAATGTCCCCGCGGAGACGGGTGGGGGAGGCGGCACAAAATTGGAGTATGCACTGTTAGACGACTCAAACACATGCTAAGCCGTAGGCGGGTAATAGTATAGGTGAGGCCATCGCATTCCAAGATCACCTCACATCTATTATATCTCTCGAGGCGAATTGGTGTAGTTGCTGGTGATAGTGACACCTCACACACGGTCAAAGATCAGTCCTGGATCGTGCGCCATACCGTAAACCGTGTCTCCTAGAACATCTGGGCCGGTTAGTTGGTATCAGACTTGTCTGGGTGAATAGAAACGCTGACTTAGACATTAGTTGGCCCCCACAGGTCCTTGTGTTGGCCAAATCGCATGCCAAATGCTAACGATTCTGAATGAAGGTAGAGTGCGTGGCGCATTCCAAGAGGGACTGATCACCATTGAGTGCTTCACCGTCCATGCACCTACGCGTGATCTTTTTCCGCTGTTAAGGTAGCCTCTCCATCAGCGCGCAACTGATAACATTTTGTGGCTCCAGAGCCGCGGTAAGAGTTATGTCGCTAACAGTTCCGCCCTATAAGCAATTCACGCTTTGTAAGTGGCTGTGCCTGGGTTCCTTTTAACCTGGTATTATTCCCGTCCATTTCTCGTCCATGGCACTTTCTTCGACATCTTCTCGTACTATGTCCCAAATCAAGAAGCCTTGGTCTTGCCGTTTTCAGCGGCTTCTTTTGTTTCCATTTCTGTCCCAATCATTAATCCTACCCGAATGCATGAAGACCGTGGTTGGAGGGCGGAGCGGTTTGGATTGAACCTCCAGTGACGACCAATGACGTCACCAAGTCGCTCCGCCTACCAGTTATCGTGTTCACTGCCTTTAAGGACCTCCTCTGCAACAAACAAGCCTAACCTTCCACTTCCAGATGATCGACGCTCTTAGAGGCTTGCCATGTTCCAAGTTCGCGCTGTCATTGATGGAAAATATGGAGAAGCCAAGTGTGGCAAGTAGTTGTGCCGTCGGTCCACGTCTCGACTTTGATTTCATTCCAAAGGTTTGGCTAAGCAATATGCGGGGGTGTTTACGATGCACCTACCCACCCACCGATGCGTTTGTAAACCTATTATTCAGAGCGTCAGTGAGTTGCGGAAGGAGGCGCCGGCGAAGCCAATGCTCATAGGGTGCTCTGCTTCTGAGGGCCTTATGTTCTGTAAGTTTTCGAGCTTTGGTCCGATATATTAGAATTTGAGCCTTCAGCTTACTTCTCTCAGTACTGTACTGTGTGTAATCCTAATTTGGAGTTAAAGGCACATTCCACGACCAAATAGCTGTAACTTCTTATGTTCAAAAATGGAAGTGCTTGTGATGATCGGCCCAGCAGTAAAGGAAGGGGGCTAAACTCGCCAAAAATCATTGCAACGTACTGCGCGCATGTCGAGAAGGGGATTTGAGTCACGCCCCTGCGAAAATCTACCCGCTGAAATAGAAGCTCTGAGTAATCCGTCCTGACGAGCAGTAGTGGCTGTAGACAAAAGGCGAGAAATTTTGTTCCATAGTTTTTGTACAAGACTAAAACCAAGCCCGAAAAGTCCTAGGAAATTTTTTGAAGGCATGCCGTTGGAAACTGGTAACCGATTTTCCGCAACACGAAATACGAGGTGTGGAGCGAAACGGGCCCAGCATCAGAAAAGCATATGTTGGAAACGCTGTAAGTTAAGGAGTGTCACGCTTCATCAGGGCAAGCTGCTGAGAACACATAAGAGAATGAGCGTAGGGAGGGAATTATGAGGCGATCTAGCGCAACGGGTGAGGGGGCGCTAGAAAATATCCTGCCGCAGACGTGGGAATTTGAAGCTGTTGAAGCTGTCTTCGCAAAGCTCCAATGCCCTTGTTGGACAATTTCCATGCACAGCGAAGCTACTTCTGTGACTGTCCTATATCATACAAACCAAGGGAATCCCTCACCTGGGTTCTGCCTGGTTATGCTTGTAGTATATATAATATTCATGCGTTGAAAATCCGTCGAAAGTGAGTTTGGCTTGCCACGTGAGCCGCGCCTAAAAGGAGGAATCATGATTAGCGTGATGGTCGAAGAAGAGTAATTCACCTAATTTAAGGAACCCGCGGACCTCGCTGAGGGTGCGACTGACCGCAAAATCCCGCCATGTGGCGCGGTGGCCAGTGCACGCCCACCGATCATCTGATCACTCGCCGCAGGTCTATACGTGGCGAGTGATTAGATAGGTGAGAGAGCGTAGTGTTGAAGAGGGCACAGCGATGAGAGTCGCATCAATGCTCAAATCAACGGGCAAGGAAGGGGTCCCATTTCTCGGGTTCTGGGCCGTTTCTCATGGTTTTCCTTCTTTCGTGTACCACTCACCATAATCCCTAGGTTGATTTGGCATGGTTGCCTTCCACGTGAGGGAGAAATTTCATAAATACATTTCTGTGTTTTAAAAAAGAATTGTTGCCGTCATTAGGGCTACATACTAAAAATGTGTTTATCTAAGTGTTGTTTAACAGAGTGTCATACTACCCAATAACTCCAAAGAAGTTTATGCTCCTCTTTTAAGTAGGGTTTGGAAAGGACCACTCTGTCAGTGCGATTATGAATTATGTTTCGCAACTTGTGCCTGAGAAGGAGTACCCTCGCACGTTCAAGAAGTTGCGAGAGGAAGTTTTCGAGAAACTAGTCTCAAATCCCGCCATTACTCTTGAGGTGACACGAGCCTTAGCCGAGGTTTCGTTCGCTTTCCTTTGCTTTCGACAAACGTGGAACTCATTCGATCTTTCCAGGTCCTTCGGCGATCTTTTCGTGAACGTTGGAGTACAAACGACGATTCTGGAGACGTTGGAAGCACATGATGCTCCCGTGTATTTCTATTCATTCGATTACTACAACCCTAAAAGTTGGGGACCGCTCGCAATGCGGTGGCCCTTCAAAGGTGATTTTGCCGTCAGTTTAGCTCAGTAAAGGGGACCATTGGTAGAGGCGCCGCAAACTGTTGCATGGTAGGATCAAACACGCCAACCGAGTCAACAGCGTCTCCCATAAACGCGAGAATGGCTATTTTGTTTTCGCCAATCTCACCTGGGAAGAAACTCTTCAGGATTTCTGCGCCTTTAAGTCATCCGAGAAGCGCTATTGGAAGCTTCCTCTCGATAGTGAAGTACATGGCGCATCTTAGAGGAATGGTAAATGCGACCGCTTCATCCGTCATCTTCGAAGGATTTATTAGAATACATGCTTAAGGCGCAAAGGTATATATTTAAAATGGGAAGGAGATCAGGGTAAGTAATGAGAGAGGATAACTTGTGGACTCATACTATGGTGAAAATTTCAAGGAAGACCTTGGCATCGAAAAAATCCATGCTGTTGATGCGACCTTCTTCAACAGTTCCTCTCTTTGACGCTTTTCTATTAAAGGCACGCTCCGCGATCAGGCGGGCTCGCCTGTTCCATCCAGGGGGTAGTAGGCAGGTGGACAAGTGTTGATGTCGGGCCCCTTTTGCGGCTTGAAAGTACGCGACAAAGGCGCAAGGAGCTCGTCCAACCCGCAACTCACACCTTCGTCAAGCCCCACCCTTCGCTGTCGGTTGCCACGTGGCGCTGCTTGAAAAGCGCGGGCGCATTTGAGGCAGTGGTCCCAGCGCGATCCAATGTTATTGACACTGGAGCAAGTAGAGTTAGGTTCGTGAAACTCGTCCAATTCGCCTCTTCTCTATCCCAAGGTGGAATGTGGCTGAAATAGGGGAGGTCTCTGTACGGGGCGTAATCGGTGGTTTCGTTTGCTTTCCTTCTCTTTTACAGACCACCTCCCACCTATAGCTTCATAACTGAACGCTTTTCTAACTTAGTTGGGGGGGGGGGCACGCGGCGGCGGGCTCTCTCGAGCGAGACAGTGTAAACTCGAACATTCCAGCTTTTCACGCATGTCAAGTGACTGCCCCCACCCCCCACCCCCTAGACTGCCTACACTCCCCCTGGCCCACGGATTTCCGAACATGCCAGGCGAGCAGACTGCCGCGCCGCCGCGTGCCCCCCCCAACTAAGTTAGCACCGGACTGACAAGCTTTCAACACTTACTTTATCCCGCATTTTGCCTACAAAGCGCAAGGCATTCGACGTTGATCCAATCGTCTCTAGGATCTTCTACGTGTTCTACTTCCATTCGTGGTCGAAGGGGTGTTTACGTGGGATTTGGTCCATACATTTATTTGGCTCATACGCGTCGTCTTGAGACAATAAAATCCAGCGTTTTTTTTTCGGGCGAATTTGCTTGCAATTGGCCAACCATTTTTCATTTATCTACTTCTTAAAAAATTTTCACAGATGCAACACATTGCACTGAGTTGGCCTACATCTTCGCTGTGGGGATTATCTGGAATTACGAGTTCAACCATGACGACAAAAAGATGTTGGAATTGACGACAAGAATGTGGACGAATTTCGCTAAATATGGGTAAGTTTTTTTTTGCTCACTTCTATAATTGATGGGCCCGAATAGTGCAGATGTCGAGGGCGCAATGTTGCCTTTTCTTCACATTCAAGCGGTGAGCTGGGTGAGTTAGCTGTACTCTTGAGAAGGATAGAGTAGTCCTGTAGCAAATTTTGAGCTCAAAAGGCTGGGCACAAGAGCCAGGGGGTGTACTATCGCGTACGAGTCAGAAATGAGCCGGTATGCATCATGCTCGCCTTTTTGCTTTCTCGTCCCGGCGCAAAACGTTCCTTCTTGTCCGCCGAAGAGGAATGTCATCATTTTAGTTTTCTTGAGCGATTACAGGATTTTGGCAAAACCAAGGATAACAGCACTAGATGAGTTCAAGATAATCGAGATTGAGGAGATCAAAAAGTTCTTACTATAAAGCGAGGTTTTACTCGCCGCCAAGGAATGGGCACATCGAAGCGAATGATACGCCCTCACGGCTTCCATGAGGGGCCTTACCCACGGCTGTTACGATTCTGCGCCCACCAAGCAGATGACAATGAGTAGTGACCCAAGCGTGTGGTCGTATCTGTCAGTTTCTCTAGGTAATGCGTTATCAATAAAGGTGTTTGTCGGCATGATGGCAGCTAGGATCAAAGCTCATCTAGGTTTCTGTTGTTCAAAGTGGATCAGCGAGCCTAAGATGGTCCCATTTCTCGAACTTTAGGGTTTTTCTTGGTGTTATCTTCACCCTTCGCCCCTTGACCTTCTGCTATCATTTCCAACGAGCGGCGATTTTATACTTAAATCCGCCTTCAAACGTGGAGTGTACCCTCTAGTCGTTTCATTGATGTGTCAAAAATCAGTTAACTACGTTTATTCCAGAGATCCCAACGGAGTAGCCGATGACCCGAGCTCGTCCCTAGGTTTGTTAAGTAAACAGGCGTTCACATGGGAGCCGGCAACGCTTTCCAATCCTCAGAATCACCTTTCCATTACACTTCGACCGGAGATGAAATCCGAGTACAAGGTATTCAGCTAGCACTCCTTCATTAGCACTCATCCTTCTGTAAACTCGAGATATTTGGTTTGTTTCTTCTGCCGTTCGAGGTTGATAGGTGGAACATTTATTCAATCGGCCTAACGTTTCGACAAAATCGTCGTCTTCTGAGGCCTAAACGCGGTTCAAGGTTGAAATTCACGATCTAATCGACCAAGCGCCTGATCTCCTCTAGCGGTTCCGACTTTCCGCCGGGAGTCCCACCGAGAAACATAAGCAAAACTAATTTTGAACTCACCCAGGGCTTCGTTTCTCGGTGGGAACTCCCGGCGGAAAGTCGGAACCGCTAGAGGAGATCAGGCGCTTGGTGGATTAGATCGTGAATTTCAACCTTGAACCGCGTTTAGGCCTCAGAAGACGACGATTTTGTCGAAACGTTAGGCCGATTGAATAAATGTTCCACCTATCAACCTCGAACGGCAGAAGAAACAAACACAAATAAGAACAAAGAATGCCGAGGTTACAAGAAGAGAGAAGCTGGAGACTACTCGAGATATTATTTTCAGAAAGGCAGGCCTTTGTTCATCTCACAGATGCGGCGGTCCAAGTCCAAACCTGATGCAATATGAGCCTCTTGTCGTCGGTCCTGTACACGTTGAACGTGTTTGTACAAATTGTATAATAAATTGATAATCTAATACTATATGTGTATCACTTGTGGTGTGTTCCTAGCAATGGGAAAGCCTCGTACATAAGAAAATGGAAAGTCGCTTCCGACATTGTGCTGTGGTGAAATTGTTGCTGATATTCTTTCTATTTTTGATCATCACACATCCGGATGTTTTACCTTAGCCCTTTTAGTCCGTACTCTGTCCTGGGTCTATCATTGATCGATTACCGCCTACTCAAAATTATCAACTACTCTTTAGAATCTTATAGAAATCCAAACGTAGGTTTATAGAACGAATTGCTAGACAAAGTTGCTGGAGCGTTCGGATTGCACACAGGATTCCACCCATAGTCTCATTTAAAGGCAAAGTTCGGGCTCAGACCCACCTAAGAAGCCCTTACCATGGCTAGAAGTGCTGGGCACCCAAGTGCAAAGTAGCGCCACCTTTCTACATCGAAACCCGTCACTAGGACCCTAGGCGCCATGGACTTCTAACAGACTCCACCAAACTTAACATGGTCCGCCCACCGTTCGATATCTTGTCTGCGTCGCTGCGTTGATCTGCTATGCTCTCTCTTCTCGGACTTCTCTACCACTCTCCGCGCTCACATTATCTCTCATCTCCCTGCCTGTCTTTTGAACTTCTCCACAGCATGGAGCAAAATGCTCGTATTTCCTGTGTATTTCAGGATTTCTTTTTTTTCTCCACTGGCGGTCCACCTCCCATCCCTACTTTCACATTTGAGTGGAATCAACCCATCAATGTAATTCTGATTCTTGCCTTTAAGGATCGACTTCTCAGATCAAATCAGTTCCCGATCGCATCCATGCTCTTTTCGATTTTTTCCCTCTCCACAGCGTTCAGCATCTTTTTTCATCTCGCTGTCTTAGCAACCTTCAGAGTTTTTGTACCTTCCATTTTTTCTCACTATCAGTCTACTGGGAGGGAGGGGGTAAAGAAGAGTCACCTAGCCAGCCGTCCTCGCAAGCTCCTACTTAATTTCTTCAATCGGTTAACTGATAGATACCTTCCTAAAAAATGAGCTCTGACTATGCAAACCGTATTTCAACCAACATTCGAGAGAACGGTTGTAATGGTCCACGATCCGTCGACGACCTCGTTGAGAACCGTGCATCACGTTCCCATGGGGAAAATCTTCTGATGCCTTCGCTGTAGAAGGTAATGAAGCTTAACGATACAATAGAATGAGCTCTTCAAAATTCCGTCCAGAACCTATTCGGTTCAAATTTAGCAAAGAGTAATCATTCCGTTGAAAGGCGAGTAATTTTTTGCCCGCTCCCCTTCACTGTATATCACACTCATGTTCCATTTTTGAGCAGAGCAACCACACCAGCCTAATCCCGGTGTCTCTCTAATTTTAGCTCTGTCGTCGATTTATTTTTCACTTTCCTCCACCACTTCCATTTTTGAGGAGATGACATTTGGAATCATGAAAGGTGCCTTTAAGTAAGCTTTGTGAAAGCTTCTGAATTACTCAAGAATCCCTCACACTACTTTCAGCGTTTTCCAAAAATGTTTCTATGACCCTCCCATTCCAAATACAGTCCCTTTCCCATTTCATAAACCATGGCACATCCTACGACCAGGGTCAACCGTCACGTTCGAACATTTCGGGTCCAGTTGCGACCCCTCCCAACACACAGTTGCGACCCCCCAATACAACCAGCCTTCCTCCACCGCGACCTCTCCCTCTTCTATAGTATTTGATTCTGAGACCAGTTGACACAGCCCAAAACCTACCTAAAACTCCGAAACTCCACCCACTTTTTCCCCAAAAATAGCCGTCGAGCGGGGGGGGGGGTATATACAACCAGTGAAACGGCAACTTTTTTCGCACGCACCTATGCCCTGCGCCCTGATCACCAAAGCGCGCAATGCGACCAATGCGACCCCTCTCCCCTCCCAGAACACAAATGCGACCCCCCCCCCGTTCGAACAGTTCGAACGGACGGTTGACCCTGCCTAGGACATCCTGATCGTGACTGCGGCTATGGAGGTTACCACACACAGAAGGCAGGGTGTTAAATAATAGAGATTTATTGTATCCAAACTCCACGGTTGTTAGGAAGCGGTGGTTCTGCTAGTGTTAGTGAGGAACTGCCTCTAACGAAGGAGATGCGTTCAGCTGAGCTGTGACAATCCATCATTGAATCTAGCCAATGTCACAACGGTAGTTTCTCATTCGAGTAAAGGTCTCCATTATCGGTCGAGATAAGATTGTATACACTCTGAAAATGAGACCTTTATTTGGCTGTTCAAAATATCAATAGAAATAAATAACGCGATCATAGATGTCAACAAGAGTTCATTTGATATGGTCGTCATGTTGAGAATTCACAGGGCTTGTTCCGAAACGCGTGCTCAGCCATGATCAGCCAGAGCTACCATTTCGGCTGGCCGTCCAGAAACTTCATCGAAGGTTCAGAACTCTCTTAGAAAGAGACTCAACAAAGAATGAGCAGGTTAGAAACTCATCATATCAGGTGCAATGATCAGCACTACACATATGGCGATGAAGAACACGAAGGCGACCAGGGAGGCCCACCACAGCTTGCCTTCCCATCGATGACGACGGAAATTTCGGAGGACCACCACACCTAGCAGGATTCCTGCCACGAAGCCTCCGATGTGGGACACGTAAGAAACCTGAAGAGTTCAGTTTAGAAAGAGGGAGTGGAGCGGCAAACACAGCTTAAAGCAACACCCCCAGCAGAAGTCGTGTCGAAGAATTTATAGTGAGTGGGATAGAGTAGCCCACGAGTATCACAGATGTGCCGTTGTCGCGGCTCGAAAGTGCGCGACAATGGCGCTAGGGTCTTACAAAGTCAGCTTTTGGCGACTAATCTTAGTTGACGACGAGTTACGTCGCGCACACTCTACGACATGCAACGTGGATTACGGCGTAGCGGCCATTCCAAATACGCGCGGGTTAGTTAAGCCGTGGAGCAGGCATGTTCGTACAACTCGTCCAGCCCCGCCCTTCCTTATTTCAAGGCGAATCCTTGTTTTAGGGCTTCATCGGCAATTTTCCTTGCTTCTTCTTTCATTTAATCAACTCGACATCCTACTCTACTATCGACACGCCTGGACCCAAAATTTCGATTGGGGGCGTTTGCTTTTAATGAGGAACTTTACCCTGTCGACCCGGTCGACGAAATATCGTTGATAGACGGAGACGGCTGTGTCGGAGCCAATCAAAATTCACCAAAACTATAGCCCGTATCCAGTTGAAACTCCATCTAAAAGCGTACAGTATTTACTGCCGATTCATTGAGCACGGACTACGGTATGACTTCCTACCCCTCTGACCAATTCATTATGAGCTCAGCAAGATGGGCAGCGAGGAGGGCGTAGACACCTCCAGAGGCACCAGCGAGAAAGACGTGAGAATCCACGGCTGACACCAGGAGTGAGCCTAGAATGGCGGCGAGATTCGATAATGGCTTCTTACCCAAAACGTGATAATGAAACTGACCTGATAAGAACCCCTGCCAAGTAGACGACAATTACACGCCATTGATGAACGAGTTCTAGAGGCACACCGAGGAGGAGTTGGGTGAGTACATTGTACGTGACGTGGTAGATTCTGCAAGCGAAAACGACCCATGGAACCAATAGCTTAATATGGAAATATATAAAGAAAACGAATAATAATTAATACTTTGTAAATCAGACATTAGCTCTTTTCTCTAAGGGTTTTTAGGTGCACAACCACAAGCGGGGGAAACGCTAAAGTAGCACAACAAAAAGTCGATGAGAGCGCTCTGTTGATAGCATGGACCTATACAAAAGATCCCCTCGAACTCTGTAAGGTTTACACCCAATAGAAGAGAAGGCAAGAAGTATTTTCAGTACCGGAAGCGTCACTCAGCTTCCGCAACACCGTCCGTCTCATATCGCCCTCTGATCATGGTGAACCGTAATAACTTCGTATATGCGCAGGTCAAGTCAGGCTTGAATTTCCAGTCAGTATAGAAAAACAAACATCAAAACCTATATTCCTTCAAAAAGCCAGTTTCATGTGTTGTACAGGTCCTACCCTCCTGAGTCAACCGTGCGTTCGCACCACGTTGCGCAGTTTTGCCCGATTAGACACGTTCTCTCGCGCGAACATTCACACTCGCATGCTCGAGCCGTCTGTGCTCTCCGCCCATACAGCGTGCGTTGAGGATCTCTCAACGTGCCGTTGAGAACTGCGCAACGCACGGTTGACTCTGCCCAAGGGTCAACTTATGTTTGCTACAAGTAGCAACGGGGGGGTCGTATTTTGATGAGTTTGTAGAGGGGGGGGGGGTCGTAGGAAACATTTCATGGGGGGGGGGGGCCGTAAAAAATGTTTGAAAAGTAGCAACGATAGGACCGACCCTGCTCTGCCCCCTCCCTCCTCCCGAACGCATTCGATGCCACCGCCATTCTAAATGGAAGCTGAATCCGTAGTTGATCAGGAAGTCATAGTAAAGCCAGATGATTGAGCGAAAACTCTTTTCAATTTTAAAGCAACCCCAAATCGAATTAGTGGTGTGACAGCGGCCAATGAAACTGTGAATGCCGAAATGACTAAAAATGAAAAAAACAACCGCAAGTGAACCGCCGATGAAGCCGTTAACAAGGTGGTGGTGTATTTCTCTTTTTGAAATATAGCCTCCACTAGCCCGTGTTTTAAATACGGCGTAATGCACTTTGCGTGTCATGGGGTGTGAGCGAGAGATCTCGTCAGCATGTGAGTTCACACAAGTCGCCATCAGACCACCTTATAAGGCCCTAGCTCCACTATCGCGCACTTTGGAGCGCGACAATGGCACATCTGTGATACTCGTGGGCCATCCCACCCACAGAATAGATTCCTCGGCACGACCTCATCGGGATTGTTGCTTTAAATATTTTCAAGCATTTCAAAAATAATTTATAAAATGTTATAAAGAATGGAAGAAGGATTACCCAATATGGATGAACATATAGGTGATATATCGCCACACTTCACTTTTGCGATATGGATTGAAAATGAGGGGAGATTTGCTCGGAACAGGTCCAGTTATACTTACACCTTCACCGGATTCTATCGTATAGTAGATGTAGATCGCAACCTGGAAATACATCTCTCTCTCAAGTGATATGAATGCTCTCAAGACAATGAACTAGAACCCTAGAACCTAAGTCAACCTCGGATCAGAGAGTGGCATTAACTCAATAGCGTAGTGGAGTCCTAATGTCACTGCTGACGCAGATGAACTCATGCATCACACGGTCTCAGGAGAGCTGAGGTCTATCAGCGATGAAATTCCTTCAGAGGCGGATGAAAAGAGCCCATTAGGAATCACGATAGAGGTGCTCAGTGGTGAAGGGAGAAAGAAAAAACCATAAGAAACGGAAGAAACGGCCAGAACCCGAGAAATGGGACCCTTCTTTGCCCGTTGATTTCCGCATTGATGCGACTCTCATCGTGCTGCCCTCTTCAATGCTAACGCTCTCTGCTGAACGGCTAGAGTCGGACGGCGAGAGAGAGGGCGGCCACGGCGCGAGCGACGCGGGTATGGCACGGGTATGGGGGCATATCTCTGCTGCAGACCGCGCCGCCACCGGCGAAAGAATACTTCATAAAAAACATATGATAAGGGATCCTCATTTCTCCATTGACTCTTGGACGAGTTTACGCCCTAAAGATGACTGCTTGGGTAAGGGTGCCCGACCCGGCAAGTTGAAGAAATTTCACTTTTGAAACAAAGGTGACCATAGCGGCGTGGCAAAATCCCATTTGTGGGCGGGGCGGTTTTGAAGCGGTTCGTGAAGGAGATAGTTTTTGTGGTTGTGATCAACTCCTTTCCCCACGAGACTGAAAGCGTTAGCAGTGAATTTTTGAAGATAATAACAAATCAAGAAGAAGATAAATCAAGAGCTTACCTGTATTATGCTTATGATAAGCATAAAAACTGGCGGAGGGCAGCATTTATACCTGAAAAAAAGTAATTGATGTCAAAGCTAACAATTTTTATATGCAGTTGACATACATGCTGAGGGAGTAAAGGAGAGCCAGAGTGAGTGACCGCTCCCAGCACGCTATTAACTGCATGGAATCGAGATAATGCGGTCATATCGGGATAATCCTTTCATCACTAATGTGGCTAGAATTGCAACAATAGGGGTACGCTCCCTCCTGTCAAAATGTCGCGGCAGTAACGCCTCCGGCCAAGTGTTTTGAGCGATGCCGCCATCATTGTACTATGACCGACCACCGCATGAGTGACTTTTGGCTACCATAGGCGCGTTATCAGTTTGGCTCAATCCGGCTAGCTGGCGCAAAAAGCCGAGCCGAATGTTGGCAGATCCGTTAAAACTCGTTCGTACATATCTTGCTTTCAAGCCGGCTCTCTTGCTGCCTAATAGAAGCGGATTTTATTTCAGCTCAGCGATGATTCCTATTTCTTTTTCTGACTAAGTTCATTTCATCAGAGACACCATTTATCATCACAAAGCAAACTCCATAATTACGACCCTGTGTCTTTTAGTCACATTTTCCCAGTTTAAACACATCTCAAATGGCCATTGCACATCATCGTAGGAAGTTCACCGTTAAATTCTGGCACCCTCCAATTCCCAACATCTGGCAAATTCACGCCAAGCTTAAATTCCGCTCTGGCTCTTCCGTAGCCCCCCCCCCATAGTAGTAAAGTATGGCAGGAACAGTGTCAATGGGAACTCCTTCTGGATAGTTCATGCATTCCTTCCCAACACAAGCATGTCAATTAAAATAACTAGAGACAATATAAAATTTCCATGCACGAAGATTCAGTTTCCGAAGAGAAATAAACTCAAGAAAACCTCTACCGCTGCTAGCACTTGTGACACATGTCCGGCGGGAATTTGAACGCGTAGCAATTCGTAAGCGTGAACCATGGGCCTAGGCGCAGCGAATTTATGAACGAGATTAGAAGACGTTTTTCCGAGAAGATCCCCTAAAGAATAAGCTAATGGAGAGCCTATGGCGCTCATGTCCTGTAGGGGGGGGCGCATTCGACCGGCATTCAAAAGTCGCTGGAAGGCGGACACCTAGATAAGCCCAGACTGGAAAAAAACACAAAGGAAGAGCAATGGTTGCTCACATTATTACCCTTTCCCCTCCCTAAAGCTTAGTCCTGAGTTTTATCAGGCCCACTCACTTCAATGTCCCCCTAAGGCATGAGCGCCGCCCTCATTTCTCCTGTACTTCGTCGCAGCTCATTCTTCGCTAATCAATTTCCAGTGATCTTCATGCACTTTCGCTCACTGACCTTCTACGAATGGTAAAATGTCACGATTACTCCCTAACCTTACTAATAAAATACTTACCGTACCTCTGAGAACCCCACGCTTAGTTTGCAATATAGCAACTTGTTGAGTAAGGCAAATGCAGAACGACTCACTTCTGCAGATAGTCGAAAGGCTCTGTTCGCTTTGATTTGGGCACGACGAACTGCGCCGCTCTGAACATCAGGTGAAGAAGACGTCGGTGCTTGACTCGACTCATCTGAATTGGTACTGATAATCGAATGCAGATCTTACCACTCACGACTCTACGACCCAGGATTTGATCCCCGAACCGCTTCGCGTGTAAGCGCGGCCACTGGTCACACACCATTCGCGCCCGGCAATTCCCAATTCTTCTATGGAAACTGGAAATTCTGGGCACCACATGGTGCAGTAACCGTGAAAGTGACACTCCAGAAGTAGCACTTGTATTTCGGCTCTATATGCTTCACAAATCAGAGAGGGGAACTGGAGGCATCGCAATCAAATCAACTTCGAAATGGGGTACACCTCAGGAGGCCCGTCGCGCGGCAAAAAGACAAAGTCAGCGGACGAGTCGGGATTTCGCGTCAAGTCAGAGAGTGTCCCATTGCGGACGTCCTACAGTCGCACATGCACGCTCACCGACTGTCGAGGAAAAAGCATAGCACTAGCTTCTTGCCGCGGCGACGGCTACTGAGGGTACTTGTTCGGAATGGCGCTCCTCTACGGATGTCGCTTACCGCCTGCTCTTAGGAGAGAAGCACGAATAAGTTTGTGCTGACGTAGCACCTATGGCAAAAACTCGGCCCCCCCGCACGGCGAAACAATGGGAAAACGCGGCCTAATTTCGGCAGTTTCCTACTGACTTTTCCCACTTCCATGCCATTTAGAGTTCTCAGTTTTCAACCTGCAATAAATTTAGAGTAGCCACTGCCCTTAATTTGTCAAAAACCAGTTTCCTCGTCAGGAAACGACGTCAGATGATATCTTTTGGGATCTCATTTGAGCACTCAAGCAAATTCTTGCAAAGGACACTTACCAAAGTGCAGAATTCCGGAAAATCGATGAGCTTGTCACCATTGTCATCGATATTCGCAATCATCGTGACAACCTCTTCAGGATTCAGACCAAACGAGAACGCAGAATCGCGTATGGCTCGTTTCAAATCTGTCGTTGGGATGAAGCCATCGTGATCCAAGTCGAACTAAAAAATTGAACGGTTCGAGGACTAACAATAAGGCTCTAGGCATGGATTCAGAATCATCTAGTGGATTGCGGAAAGCCTGTGCGAGAGTCGATTTTTTACTTTTTTTTCTATTGGTATTGGAATTCGAACCCTTAAAAGAATCCACTACACTCGCATATTGATTACTGATGCCTTCAATATAGCACGTTTACAACTTATAAGGGTCTCCGGAAGCTTCCAGAAAATTCTGGAAAATATTCAAGATGTCGGAAAAGTCCGCCTGCTACCTAACATTATAGAACTTTGTGCACGGACTTCGATTGAATTCGCGAGATTAAAGAAATAACCCGACATGCGCCAAAAACGTATGCAAAATTAGGTTTCAATTAGAAAAAGTGAAAATTAGAGTGTAAATTAACTTACGGCTCTGAAAAGTCGGATCCACGACGTACATTCAACTTCTGATTCGCACATCATCTCATGCCGCCCCTTCTCGAACATTTTTCTGGCCTCAGTGATGCCACCGGGAATCCTGAATTTAGTGCTTTTACTTTAATATTACGTTTTTGTCCTAGAAAGGATGATAAGCGAACAGAAACATTGGCAAGTTCCATCAACAAAGCACCTTGCGTAGCGGTTGCCTGGTCGATGAGGGCGAGATACGTCAGAAGTTCGAAGAGTTGAACTTTTCCTACAACACGAAATCAACTAGAACAGACATTCAGAAGAACTGCTATTAGAAGCAGAAATTCATTTTTATATGAGGGGCGCAAAAGAAATCAATCCCTACTAATGTAGCGGAATTTTACGAAAGCTGTTCAAGGCTCCTACTTCCTTCTGCAGAACCCCATGCGGGTTTAAAAAAACCTTTTTCAAGGTATCAATGGCCAGGAGAATGAAGAGCTCCAAGCCTTAGTAGATCGATCGCTGCACTCGCTTCCAAATGTGTAAAGGCATGCCCCAAGACCAAACTGGTGTGGTTCTTGCACACGAATGTGAATGTATCAGGTGCGAAATGGGCCGGCAGTGAAGAAAAAAGGAAAAGAATCCGTCGAAAACGCTCAGGTTAAGGGCTCACTCACCTTCTAATGCGGCTGTGCTAAGGCAATGAGAGACTGAGCGCGGAGAGGAGAGTATGAGGCGAGAGAGCACAACAGATGAGAGAGCAACAGACAATACGACTGCTGTGGAAGCGAAAATTGAAGCAGTTGAAGCTCTCTTTGTAAAGCTTTAACGCCCTTATTGGGCGATTTCCACGCACGGGAGTGCCACATCTGTGGTTGTCGCCTATGCTCTGTCCTACGGACTGACGGGAATCGCTCTGCCTTCTGCCTTGGTTATGCCTTTAGGGCTTTACCATGACGCCGATGGTGGTTAGCCAAGAGTGACCTTCTGATTTTGGAGATTTGAACAGCTTGAAGGAGTAGGTCTCATAAAAAGGCATCAATGTGTGAATGGCAGGAGGTATGCAACAAGGTCACCATGAGACGTCGTACATATTAGAAGCATAGCAGGCACATCAAATTATGGGCATTAATTCAAACGAAATTAACTTTTCCTTGTCCAGACCCATACAACTTCGTCATATCTACATCTACACCAGTTCCCATACTAAGCGAACGCCTCTATTCAATTGTCGTACTGCGTCTTGGTCAAAATACGCCTAAACGTGCTTCTTGCTAGATGGTCAATTGTAGCGGAAAGTATCGCCCTTGAAGGTACATAATGGCCGGAAGCTGAATCGTTTTCGACGACGCCATTGAGCGTCAATGGTGGAAAAACGTTGGGAGGTGGTACTCTGAGGGAACTGGTCCAATATCGTCTACCCTTTCACTAACTCTTTACCCTCCAGATTTTCTACAAGTCTTGAGAGAGGAGCTCGTCTAATTAGGGGTAGGGTGGTCAAA